ACTTTAAGAGCAAGAGAGCTGTAAAGAACTCTATGCCTTTATAATTTCCAATTTTTTAACTTATTGTGTATAACTTACTCCATCAAACATAAAAAAACCTCACTACTTAATAGTAAAGGGAATTTGTACCATTCAGTGTTTGTCTGTAGGTTCACTGACACACTGAGTGCCCAGTATGAGAATTTTGTGAAAAGCTAGTGCTTCACACAAATAAGATTGTGAAATTGACTTATCCCTTGGTTCTGAGATCCACAAGCTGCATATCCTTACAAACAGTTTAACAAAAAATTAGGACTGTACACCCGGAATTGCTCCTAGCAAAACATAGAATCACTCAGTAATGGAAATCCAACATATCCCCATCCCTGCTCAAAGCCTGTTTAGGTATACGATAGTTCACGTAAGTGTGACAGTACTTATTGTTGCTCATGGTATAAAACTTTAACCCTAAATTTCCATGCTGGAAAAACTAAATACAGTGGTTAATTCTGGTTAGCTCATCTAAGACTTAATGTTAAACCTGACCTTAAAATATTTTTTCAAAATCTATATCAATGCTGTGTAATGCATCTAAACAATCTTTGTGGCTGTCCACAGCCAGTACCTGTCATTCATAACACTACAACCTATACTTTATTATGTGTACAACATCCTCTTTTGTTTGACATTTCTGGAAATATAAATAAAATGTTATCAAAAAAGAGAGCGATGATTATCTCTAATGCAGAAGGTGTAAATGGTCTCCTGTTTGCTTTATTGTATTTAAGGAGGAGACCATAAAGGATTCATCAGGTCAGGAGGATGAGACACAATCCTCCAATGATGACCCAGCACCATCTGTTGCTTCTCAAGATCCACAGGAGATAATTCACCCACGTCGATGTAAATATTTTGATGCAAGTATGTGCTGTTTAGTACTATGCACCATCATCTAAATTGTCATAACTTTATTAAGATCTAGAATTAATGAAATATTGAGTTACTAAAAAATCTAAGTCTTAGAGCTTAAGTGTTTGTCAGATTTTTCTTCTCCCACTGCTGTTCTTTATTATCAATTCACTTAAACATAGTTTTTTGTTGTCCACTCTCCTTAGCATATGATAAAGCCTCTCTTTTTTACAAGTCATGGACTTTGTATATTTGTTTTATTAAAGGAAAAGTGTAGGATTAAATCTGGTGCACAATTTAAAAAGAAAAGCAAAACCTAAGGCCAATGGAAATGCTTTCAATAACTTCTTAACATTTCAGTGGAAATGTAGTCCCCAGTCCTACAAACAGGTCCACCTGGGCATGCCTCTACACCTCCGCAAAGCTCCCTTGCCATCCCCTTGGAGCCCCAGTGACGTCTTCCCATGTGGACCAGCTTGAAAGATCAGTGCAAATATTCCCTGCAGTGTTTGTAACCTTGTATTGCTCAACTGTAGCATTTCCCCAGCTGTGGTCTGTGGAGCACTGCTGATGGTCCAAGAAGAGTTGGCTGGCTGCAGGGTGCTGGCTCACCACCTTATTTTCAATTGCTAATTCACCCTAAAAAGACCATAAAATATTTTGTTTTCTTATATAAATATTCCAAGTAAGCAATTGCTGTAGTTGCTACATGGAGACTAAATTATAAATGGGAGAGGTGCTGGTCCACAAGACCGTATCCATTAAGTTGTGGTCTACTCCATGAAAAACTTTTTGAGAACCCTTGTCTTAGTGAGTGAGAACTAGAAAATGAAATTGACAAGAAACAAAAGCAAAACTGCTTATTTTTTTGGTCTAATCTCAGTAATGGAAAAATGAATAAAAATCTAAAATAGATTTAAAAAATTATTTCAGGTTTTAATAAACTGTGGTGGGGACAGCAATACAGAGAAGGAAATTTGCTTTTAAAATATTTATCTTGACGACGTCATTTTCAGAGCTACCATTTCCCTGCTCCATACTTCCACTCTTCGTTCATGTGTCTGTTTCTTAGATGTGCTTAAAATTCACTCTTGCAGCCACTTAGAACTGCTGATCTAGAGTTATGTAACCCTCCCCTTACCCTCACTGCTGTTGTAATACCACTTATCTGGGTCTCAAACCTGCATTCTCCTAATGAATAGCATCTGGTATTACCAGCCAAGTCATTTGGACAACCAAATATTTCACTGTGTGGGGTAGCCATTTATGCCAGAGGAAGGTAAAATGCATCATTCCCGGTACACCTCTACCCCGATAGAACGCGACCCGATTATAACACACATTCGGATATAACGTGGTAAAGCAGCGGGGAGCCCCAGGCCCTTTAAAGCGCCACCCGAGCCCCACTGCTTTACCACGTTATATCCGAATTCGTGTGGAGCCCGAAAGATCAGTGCAAATATTCCCTGCAGTGTTTGTAACCTTGTATTGCTCAACTGTAGCATTTCCCCAGCTGTGGTCTGTGGAGCACTGCTGATGGTCCAAGAAGAGTTGGCTGGCTGCAGCGTGCTGGCTCACCACCTTATTTAAATCATTTTAAATAATTTAAATCATTGCCTTTAAATCATTGCCCGGCTGCCGGAGCCCCGGGGCTCCGGCACGGGCTCGGGTGGTGATTTTAAAGGGCCAGAGGCTCTGGCCACTGCGGGGAGCCCCGGCCCCTTTAAATCTCTGCCCGAGCCCCGCTGCTAGAGCTCCGGCGGTGATTTAAAGGGCCCGGGGCTCCCCACAGCAGCTGGAGCACTGGGCCCTTTAAATCACCGCCCGAGCCTGGCTGCCGGAGCCCCAGTGGGGATTTAAAGGGCCAGAGGCTCCAGCCGCTGTGCGGAGCACCGGGCCCTTTAAACCACCGCCAGGGAAGCCGGTCCAGTCTGGCACGACGTACCGGCCCAACCCCGATATAACACGGTCTCACCTATAAGGCGGTGAGATTTTTTTGGCTCCTGAGGACCACGTTATATCGGGGTAGAGGTGTATTTGGAGTCTTAGACCTATATGTTTACAACAAACATTATCACCTTATAGTTAAAGGTTTTTTATAGCTCATATACCCAGTGCTTTAAAATAAAGGAAATTAACATTTAAAATTCTTCACATCTGCATCACTAGTTATGTCATTAGAAATGTCATTTTCAAATTTATTATTTGGATTGCGGCAGCACCTAAGAGCCCGTCATGAACCAGGACTTGTGCTAGGCACACAATAAACACAGCAGAAAGACAGCCCTTGCCCCAAAGAGCTTACAATCTAAGTAACATTCTGCTTTTAATGTTTATCTAACACAGATGTCCTAGGTTAGCTTTTGGTTCCTCTGCCAATGTTTAACAGAATGCTGATTTACATTTAATAAAAGGGTCTGTCTTTCTACTACCTGATCCTCACATGCTGACATTAATGTGGCTACTTTCAACACCATGCAAATGATAGTCCCTAATACAGACTGTTATCCAACATTCCTTAGAGAGACACATCCTGACTTAAGGACCCCTAAATGTTAAATTCACTATAGCAAATGCAAGTACCGAATGTCACAGGTATTAAGGAATATGCTTTCTCAGTGCACTACTCGTGGCTAGCTGAGCTGAGTGCGCTGTGAAGTCCAGCACTTCTAAATGTCATTGTGCCTGAGTATGTGACAGCTAGATTTGGAGTGACCCACATGTTGTGCTCTAGTGTACAAACAGTTCAACAGAGGCTGGCAGTAGTGGCAGTGTTGCTGTAAGGATGAGAAAAGCCAGTGATGGATACAGGATCTGAAATGAAATGAGGGTGACTAGCCTAGCAGCCTGCCAGTTATGTTGAAAGTAAGGAGAACCTGTGTTTCAGTGTAATCATTGAAGACACTGGCATGCCTGCAGAAAACTGTACCTGATCAATTGGAATGTTGTCTGCCTATACAGGTAGAGTTGGATGAAGGGGAATTAAGTTTTATGGTGAGGCCCAAAAATAGATACTGTTCACTTATTTTCATATTAAAAACTTACAACCTTCTTCCTGTTCGCTGTCTTTCCAATTAACAGGATATTTAACCACTCTGGGTAAGCACATTAGCTGTTTTTTTTTTCTTCTAAGGCACAATGGGATGCCTTTCAACTGGAAGACAGACCAAGTTGTGGTGGTCTCCTGTTTTGCTCCTCACTGAGATCCCAGCCGTATGTTCATTCACAGAAAGGTGGTTGTGATGTCACAGCTCAAGATCCAAATAGCCAGCCGCAATGGCTTTGAGCAATCTGTCTCAAGACATACTTTACTGGCATATAATGTTGGCCTGAACAGGCTTTATGGTAGTACTTCCCATGTAAATAATGTCTGAAAAATTTCTTTAGACAGTGAAATAGAAGAAGAATCTGAGGAAGATGAAGATTATATTCCTTCAGAAGACTGGAAAAAGGTAAACATTTGAGGACTTGCTGTTAAGGATATATCTTTATTAAATGTGTTATTAAATATAGTGTACTGTTGAGTATTCCAGGCATAAGTGGGCATTGTATCCTATCAGCAGAAGGAGACAGGAAATAAGAGTTCACTGGAATTAATTCCTGTAAACAGGCTCCTTTTTGCTAATTTTCAGTTTATCCAGAAAGTGGAAAAGATTGTCTGACTTAACTAAAACCACCAGGTTGTCATCGTTAGCTTGTTTTCAATAAATAATTTCATAATACTTTTGCAGGCAAAATACAAATACTGCCAAGTTAAGCCTTTTAAACTTTGCTTTCTCTTCACTGTCTATTTTCTGAAGTTCGTGGTTATTTCCACTCCCTTAAGGGACAAGGACTGCTTTGCATAGGCGTAGCCTCCGTTTTTTAGATTTCCCCCATTCTGACTTCCTTGCCTGGAATCCAGAGCCTCTGCTTAGGGGTTTCCCTCAAAACCCTCTCTGAGTTACAGGACTAGCTGCATCTCTGAATGCATCCCTTCAGGTGTCAGGCCTTTTGCCTTTACTTTTCCGGGGTGAAATCACACAATTTCCCCCTCTCCTAGGCCAGGACTTGGGCTATAGTACCTTATGTATCAGCTGTGCTTAGCCCAGTATGTCTGACTGGGTTTGACACCTGCAGTTCTTTTGCAGTTTGGTTCCTTTTTACCAGTGATCAGTCTTCTCAAACCCAAGTGTTTAATCTTAGCAGTAGGAATAAAGCATAACACGAGAGGAAGGATTTTAAAAGTCTACATGCATGTTTCTTACTTAAAGATCTGCCATCGGTGATGGTGACCCAGGGAGGCCTACCTCTTCAGATGTCCCGTTGGGGGTAGAGAGGGGTGTCAGTCCAAACAGCTTCTTGGCAACAACTTCCCTGATCTCTGGACACAGTATTGTAGTCTCTTTGATCTGCTGGCCCCTAGCTGTGTCTCTGTAACTTTGACTGTAACCTGGAGGTAGGATCTTCAGTTATAGCTCAGGCCTTGTGTTTTAACCATGCTGAAATGTTTACTGAGAAGTAGTGTATCTTGAGCTATTGTTTCACTTCCTGCTTGTATTTTCCAGCAGCCTGCTATTAAACTAAACCAACATATTCATACTGTGAAATCCCGATAACCGTGTCACATATAGTATTCATACATTATCACAGAGCAGCTCTATATCCATCAGTCTCCATCTGACCGATCAGGAGAATGTAACTTCATTTAGTGAAATAAATTCTGTGATTTAAGTGAGAAATCACACTGAAGTAATTGCTATCTTTGTTCTAATTATCATTGCAGATGGGGTGCTTTAATACAACTCAAGCATTATATGAAGTACATGTAATTGTTTTTAATCTCAATAAGTAGATGTAAAAGAATGTGTATTTACTTTTCTTTTTCCTCTGCCAATATGCCACATAAAGTAAATAACCATAATACATTTTCTGCATGATGTGAAGGGTTTTTAATTCCCAAAATAGAGGAAAAGGGTTGAAGTTTAAGTTTTAACTCATGATGACTTTGAGCTTTATAAATTATCTGCTTCCTCTCCTGCTCTTCCCAACAATTAAAAACGAACAGCTTTAGTGTTAATGTATGTTTCTTTTAATACTCTCTCAAAGCCTCATAGACAAAGTAAATTTCCATATTGGTTTTTTTTAATTCCTATTAGTTTTTGTCACATATTTTGTAGGTTATTGGTGGCCGGACTTTTTAGTGCTTAAAGGGATATTGTCACTCTGTCATTCTATAGAAAACAGATAAGACTGTCAAATGCATTATTATTATTTTTTTTTTTTAAACAGGAAATCATGGTGGGTTCTATGTTTCAAGCTGAAATTCCAGCTGGCATATGCAAATACAAGGAGAATGAGAAAGGTGAGCTTTGATGCTGTCAACATTTCTGAAATGATTTGTTCAAGTTTCTGTACTAAAGTTTGAGGGAGGATTTCAGACAAGACATCTTAGAAAAAATTAAGCTATTAATTGAAATGGCAGATCTTTCTTTGCTTGAATTAAAAAAAAATAAAAATCAGGCAGAGGTCAAGTCCAAAAAATTTAGTTGCTTTTGCTATTAAAAAAATGTCACTGGGAGGAATAAATCTATTTTAAATATTAATGCACTAAAAGATAAAGTATGTGCTACTAGCTGTGGAGAAACTACTTTTGGTGCTCCTTTCTTTATCTGTCTTAACATAGAGGTGTCTTAACATAGAGCTTGAACTCTGTATTTCTCTGAAATTCAACAAGGTATATTTGTAATTTGCTGCTGATTCATCCATTCTTATTTTACTGTACTGTAAATGACTTGTGGCCTTCTATAATAAAACTATATAGCTGTTTGTTTTTTTACTGCAGAAGCCTACAAAAACCAGCTTTTCATGGCCTTGCATCCAATCACTGGTTTGAGAACTGAAAATATGTGTCATGGACACAGACTGTTTGGGGGGGGGGGGGGGGGGAGTTAAAGTTTCACTAAATTGTTGTTACACTAGTGCTGGTATAATTTTTGTTCTGTACTTTTTCCTTCCCCACCCACTGTATTTTTGGATGAAACCTTTATTCACAGGCCTCAAATTGGACTAGTGTTGACATTTACAATAGGAAAATAAATTAGGCTGACAACGTGCAATCATACACTTTGGCTCTCAGCTGATGAGATCTTGTTCTTAAAGTATAACTTATAATGTATTGCTAATATAAACATTTGTATTTTTGGGTAGAATTACATTATTGTGACCATCTAGGAAATTTAGCACTTGGCCGAACATAGTAGCTTAGTGACGTACTCCGTTTCCATGAAGATTTCATAACAAATGCAGTTTTGGTATAATTTATTCTTTGAACTCTGCCTGTATGGATTTCCAGTCTGTGATGCCTCATCTACACGCTCACTGTCACTCTCACTCTTCTCTGTGGATATCCCAATCCAAGTTTAGTGACTCCTGTGTTGTTGTTTGAAAGAGTTTATACCTAGGGACTCTGAATCTGTGTCCCATAAGGCAAGCACTTTTGCCCTGAGCAGAGCCCAGGACAAATAAGTAATGAAGACAGGAGGTTGGTGAGTTTACCTAACACCATGATCAGTGTAGCTCCAATTGTGTTTTGGTGTCTGATGTTTCTCTCATGTTCCACCCTTGAGTGCCTGGACAATGGAAGAGCAGAATATGTTGGTGTCGGATCCCTTGGCACCAGGAAAATTGATTCAGTGAAAGATCTGACTCAGGTCTCTGAGGGAACTTGAGTAGATTTAAAATTTTTATTAAAGCTAATGTTAAAAAATTATATAATACACAGGTTAAGAAAAGAGTCTCTGTACATCTGGGTATAGTGCTTAGATTATCCACAAATACAAAGTTTGTTTTTAAAGTCATAAGATACATATAGTGCATAATCGGCAATAACCCAAATTTAGGTGAATAAATTAAAGAATACAGTTTAGATATTAGCATCCGAGTATTTGGGTACATCACTCATGAAAAGTTATACAGAGAGTTGGTTGTGGAAAGCAATATAGCAATGAGTGAAGATTGTCCCTCAGTAACTGAGAATTTAGGGTAGGTTGTCCATTTAGAAAATACAAGACATCAGGAAAGTATTTGTTACTTTCCCGACTACGCTTCTCATCTACACGCTGAACTTCTTTATTCCTCTTGAAGAAGACTAGTTGTCATTGGTCCACTGCCAAGGACAAAGGTGCAAAAGCTCCTAAACCCTTGGGGAAGAAAATGCTACTCTTCAGATGTGCATAGCAAATTACTGAGCTGGCTAAGATAATATGGCTGTTTGATTTGAGACTTCATTGTTAGACTAACTGACAGAAAAGGCAAAAAGGGCTCCCAATATATCATTGCTGAGGACCTTCAAGTTGTGAAGGATATGCTCAGACCCGTTTGATGTTTCTGACATGACAGAAAAGTGAATTTTAACAATGATGAAGAGTTTTTTTTTTTCTTGCGAAAATCTTCAGATCGTCCCCTTGACGGGCAAGCAGAGGTGGATGATGATATCCAGAGCTATTTGATTTGGAAATGGAGGAGTCACTCCGGGAACGGAAAGATTTCCATATTTTACCCCAAGCCACATCCACTACCAAGAGAGGCTAAGCGGCATTGCATTGCTGTTAAGAGGGCACGTTGTTAATATGTGGGCAGAACTAAGTTCTGAAGAACATATAGGCTATTTTTAGAATATAGGGATAATTCTAGGGCCTGGTCTACACTAGGAAATTAGGTTGGTATAACTACATCGCACAGGGGTGTAAAAAATCCATACCCCTGAATGACGCAGTGTAGACAGTGCTGAGTTGACCAGAGAATTCTCCTGTTGATTTAGGTACCATCTCTCTTGGGACATGGATTATCTATGCTGATGCGAGAAGCCCTCCTGTCAGTGTAGGGAGCATCTTCTTTGAAGCACTACAGTGTTTTAAGTGTAGACAAGCCCTATGAAACAGTCAGTTCTCCCCAAAGATAGCAAGTGGATTAGATCATCTACACCCCATTTATTACAGAGTTCTGTCTATACCAGTGGTTCTCAGCCTGCACACAGCTGCAACCCATATGACATCCTAAGGGCCATACAGGTAGTGTGTATGTTATTTGGGCCGCATCCACACTAAAGAGAGCTGCATATGTGGTCTACAGTGGCAAATAGGTTGAGAACCACTGGTCTATGCCCTTATACAGCCCTACTTTCTAGAGTTCTTTCCATGTTATCATATGGATGTAAAAGCTGGGAATCTATCAAACATATAGACAGACACCTAAATGCTTTTGAAAGCAAATGTCTTAGAAAAATACTAGGTATTAAATGGAACAGATTAGTAACAAATGCCCAGTTTTGTTGGAGTTCAACAACCCTTTATTGCTTAAGTTATCCAGAAGAGAAGGTGGAAATATTTGAGATTTGTTAAGAATTAAGCCAGAGCATCTTCCATGGCAAGCATGCCATTTGGCAGTTGGAGGAACACGCAAGAGGGGCTGACTGAAACAATCCCTTGAGATGCTACTCAGAGGGAAAACTTACAGGATTTAACATAGAGGATAGATGGGGTTCAGATTTTGGTATCATCCATTGATGTGGTAGTCATTCTTTGTGTGTCTAGCAACTTCTAATACACTCATCATGGTGTCGGTTACAAATTAAGAAATGTACTAAATCCATAACAAATTTTGTTCACCACCATTCCTTGATTTAACTGCTGTTACTTTTTTCTTAATCAGACCTATCCATGATGCGTAAAGGCAGTTGTTTTTCAGCCTCTATTATTGAGAGAAGGTTTGAGACTTCATTGAGGCCAGTATCTCAGCTATCTTCTCAAAATATTTATTTTTATCAGTATCTTCGTCTTGCTTGAGTTAAGCTTGAGCTAGTTCGTTTTCACTCACATGTTTCTCTCTGTTCCTGTCATCTGGGCAATGGTGGGTTGATGGTCTGCTGAGCTGGCAAGGTTTCTGACATCAGATGCTGCTTTCAAGAGGCATTTTGACTTAGAGTGGTAGGCAAAGGTGTTCTCAGTCAGTAGTGGGCCTGGATGCTTTTTGCTGGCTTTCATGAACCATGGTGGCTAAGACTTCACATGTAGTAGTCCTCACATCCCTCAGTTTGTGTGATTGAACCAAATGTTCTAAGGAAGCTGGAGTGATCAGTTTTCTAATCTTACCTCTAATAGATCTTTTCCAGCAAAGTAAAATGAGAATTATTCACAAGGTCTTGTTTTGGAGGTTAGGTGAAGGCAGTCTGGAGGGATAGTTGACTCACTGTTTGAAATCGTTGTGCCATCTTGTGATTTTTGTAGTTTCAAGGGCAGAGGACGGGGAGGGATCTTCTGTTCCACAGATGATGTGTATGCGTGGGGATCTGATTAGATGCACAATGTATTTTGCAGCACTGCACTGTAGTCTGTGTGTATGTACATGATCTAACATAGTTAACAGTGAACCTTAGAAACCATTTGGAAGAGCATTGATAGTACCATACATTTCAAATGAATATAATGCTCAGTCCTCTGGCCAATCAGATTGTCCCATTAATCATGTTCGTAATTTTGAATCTTCTTGTGTTCTAAACTAACAATTCTTTGAGGTTGAGTAGAAGTTGGAATTTTACAGAATATGCTTCACTTATGTTTCTGTTTTTCTTAATTTAGTGTATGAAAATGATGACCAGCTGCTGTGGAATCCTGATTATTTAACAGAAGATAAAGTGATTGAATTCCTCAATGAAGCCTCCAGGCGAACAGGAGATGAGAAAGGACTAGAGGCAATTCCTGAAGGATCACATATTAAAGACAATGAACAGGTACATATTAGAATTTGTAGTGACCATAGTGTGTTATTTGTATTGTAATTATCGCATTTGCTGCCCCCATACCTCAAAGTCTGATTTGAGATTGCTTCTTTTTTCTCTTATCCCCATCAGAGGAACTGAATTGCTTCCACCCCTCTTGTCCCCAACAAAAGCAAATGTTTAAGAACCCAAATCACTAACACAAAGCATATTCAGTTTTAAAATTAAGTGCATTAAGAAACATTTTTATCTGCAATAACCTACGTTCTGGTCTCGATCTTCCTGTTGTAGATTTTATAGCACTTTACTAACTAAAACCAAATTCTGCTCCTACCCCGAACAAAAGAACATGGACTTGACAAATGTGTGCATTGATGAGCCCTTTGATGTGTGCACGTGTCCAATTCTCAAGTCAGAACAATGTAAATCTTGTTAATTTGCATCTTTTGGGGGGGCTGGACCTGTGAAGAAATGTGCATAAATTCCTTAAAGCACAAGATCACCAGTCCTGCAGATTTCCTAAGCTTTAGGATGTAAGGTAAAACAAAATTGCCAGCCCAGGTTGGTTACTCGTTGTGTAACTAACCATATGTGCACATTTATTGGGATATCAGAATTTCATTTCTGAGTCTTGCCACAGAATGGGCATAGGCTATACCTGTTGTCACACTTCTGCATCTTAGGGAATCAGTTATAAAAATTTGTCCTATAAATTAGGGTAGAGAAAAGAAACTATTTTTACAGTACATAACACTGTAATACAATATTTTAGAACAAGAAATGAAGAAGGGAAAAGTGTATATTATACATACGCTATCCAGGAGGTGTATAACCTAAAAGTTATCTGTAAGTCTTCTGTATACTTATATTGCTGTTTTAAAAACAGTTTCTTCTACTGGATTTTTAGAGAAATTAGACTTTTCAGAATAAGTAATTGATAATTGCACCACTGTAGCAATACGCAAATTCAGTAGTATATGGAGTTATGCATATTAAATGTGTAGTTTTTCACCTTTCCAGGCATTGTATGAATTGGTTAAGTGCAATTTTGATACAGAAGAATCATTGAGAAGATTAAGATTTAATGTGAAAGCAGCCAGAGGTAAGAATACAACAGATTTTAAATGTACTTGTGTGTTTTTTTTTGTTTTTTTTGTTTTTTTAATCCCATGCCTCCTTTAATTTGGCAAAATCATTAAAATTTGGGCATTGATTGCTGCTGTCAGATACCTCCGATTACAGCAGGATTTCACATCAGCATTGTGTAGCACTATTATCGCTCTTCCTCAAATCCAAGAATTAATGAACTCTGACCCCACGTTCAGAGTTCACTTCTAATGCAGCCGTATAGGGATGAGCTTGACGTTGTGCTTCTAAAAGTTGAGGGCCAAAATGAGATTTTGGAGGACGAAGTGATGGGCATAGTATGAATATATAAGTACTTAGGCAATAACAAACAAGAAGAGGGTTTATGAATAAAAACTTGACATTTTTATTCATTACTTCGTAACTTTTTAGAATTTTAATGCACCCACCTAAAGTAGGAATTGTAGAGGGCTTATTCTCTATATTCATGCCTCTGGACTTTTATAAAATTCACTAAAGTTAATGTGTGTGAAATACACAAGAATTCAAAATTCAAAGTAAAAAGAGATTAGGCCTCTAAATCTTATTTGTTGACAGAAAAAATTCCAAACTTTAATAAACTAACCTAAATATATAGAAGGTGCTTTGGCTGCATTGTGCACTTTCTGTCCTTGTACAGATCTTTCCTTTGTATCCTTCTGTCTGTTGTTGTTTCCTCTTCATTCATTTAACCTTTTTACTCAGTATTAGTTCTTTCTGTTCTTTTCTTTATGCACTCATCTGTTAGCACTCCCTGCCTGCTCCGCTTTTGAGTCTTTAAGAAACTTAAATACAGAGTATTTCTTGTATCAGAATCTTGAGTTTCCATTTGTTATCATTATGCAGTCACTTTAAAGTATGTTTTCTGTATTGTGTTTCTTATTTCAGAAGAGTTAGCTGTTTGGACAGAGGAAGAATGTAGGAATTTTGAACAAGGACTGAAGGCCTATGGAAAAGATTTTCATTTGATTCAGGCAAACAAGGTAAGGATGATTGTTTTTTGTTTTTTTTTTTAAGTAGTTATTTTCCTACTTTTTTTTGTAGCTGAAAAGATATTTAATATCTTTTGACTTCCTTCCAAATCAGTTTTTTTTTTTCTAGTCACTGTACTAGACATATCCTTCTGTCACTTGATCTATCACAGGAGGGTGTTCTGGTTAGCTGGCATTGTATGGGGTGTTTTCATTGTGCAAGGCCTCAAATGGGTCTGTTTACAAAAAGGAGTTTATCAATATCACCTAATGCTTAACTGGTCAGAATGTATTATAATCTTGTTAAATAAACTTAGATTCTGTAGAGGGTGGTAGGCATCTTCGGAAATGCTGCAACCAAGGTTGTTACAGGAATGTTAGTAGGAATTTTCATATTGTAATAATTCTTGAGTTTCTCCACTGTTTGACTACTTGGACATTTTGGAGTTGAGTTCAAGATTTGACTGTATGCTTTGTTCAGAGCCCTGGGCAAGTGTAAGTTAGAGAGTAATGAAAGCTTTTTTTCAGAACCCACTGGGAAATAAAATATAGGTGGAGTCTCCCTCTAGTAAGCAACAAAAATTCATATTGCAATCTGCAGAAATACTGGCACAATGGTGTTTTTGCTTTTTATCCAGAGGTGTCTCAGAGCATATGTAAAACCCATAAAAGGGGAACTTCAGAATCTTTCTACAGTTTTCCATTATATGTTTTTGCCCACCTCACCTGCAGTGTCTAGGGCAGATCCTCAGCTGTGTGGAAGTCAAATGAGCATTTGACATATTACATCATCTGCACCAGGTTCCTAAAAGTTGTTCCCTCTGCCATACCTAGGGGCATGAAGCCTGCTTCACAAATCATTCCCTTTAATAGAGTCAAGGCTTGAGGCATTCTCTGTGTTAGCATGCTCCCGATGCTTCCCCTGGTCACTAGAGTGCTCTTCCTGCTGCACACACCTCCTGTCGCCACCGGACTTATTCCAGCTCAGTACTGCAATAAAGTATTCCGCTATTTGAAATAGATGCCAAGGCCAGAAGGGACCATTTTGATCATCTAATCTGACTTCCTGTATATCACAGGCCATGGAACTTCCCCAAAATAATTTCTAGAGGTATATCTTTTAGAAAAACATCCAATCTTGATATAAAAATTGTTGTTGATGGAAAATCCACCCTGACCCTTGGTAAACTGTTCCAATGGTTAATTACCCTCACTGTCAAAAATGTACACCTTATTTCTGGTCTGAATTTGTTTCGCTTCAGCTTCCAGCCATTGAATCCTGTTATACCTTTCTCTGGTAGATTGAAGAGCCCATTATTAAATATTTGTTTCCCACCTAGATACTTAGGCTGTATTTGCACGATAGTTGCATGACTGGTAGTATGCCATGATTTTGCTCGTGGTGTGTCCATTTTCACCTGAACCCATGCCCCTTGTGTTTTCTTGAGCTAAACTAGTCATTGAAATGTGTTGATATGGACATGCACAGAAATTTTTTGCCATTGTGAATTAATGTTTGAAAAAAAGGCATGTGCTTGGGAAGCCCACCTTCCCTGTTTAACTTGCTCCTTTTTAATTGATCAAAATCCGGATTTGGCATTTAGCTTTATCTGGAAAAGTAACTTCCAGAATATTTCTGAATTATGCTAAAAAGGTACATCACATCTATATAAGAATGACCATACTTGGCTAGATGGACCTCTGGTTTGATTCAGTATCCTGTCTGACAGTGGCCAGCACCAGATACTGCCAAGGAAAGTGTAAAATCCCTCCTATAGGCAGATGTGGGATAATCTGCTTTCTACACCCCCATCCTAATGCTCTCATCCTAATGTCTAATAGTTAGAGATGGGCTTAAACCCTGAAACGTGTGATTTAAATATCCTTTACAAAACTTTTGTCATGAATTATAACAATGCTGGGTATTTTTGAGATCCATATCAATGTCCAGTTCCATTGTGAATCATGTTAATTTCTTGGCCGCAGCAAATTCTTGTCAGTAAGTTACATGGTTTTTAATTATACATTGTGTGAATTTCATTGAATATCTCCTTGTTCTTGTGTTCGGAGACAAGGAGAACAAATGTTCTCCATCTACTTTCTCTATACCATTTATTACTTTATATACTTTTATCCTATCACCCTGTTACTCATCATATAAAGCTGAAAAATCTTAAGGGAATCATTCATAGTATGCTTTGAGTCTCTGCTCTGGGCATGCAGAATCTCAAAGTATAATGTATCTCATGGTCTCTAGCAGAAAATACATTTGGATTTTCAATGTTTTGTGTGGCACCTTTTTCACAGGTACGAACAAGATCAGTTGGCGAGTGTGTAGCATTTTATTACATGTGGAAAAAATCAGAGCGGTATGACTTCTTTGCACAGCAGACCCGATTTGGGAAAAAGAAGTACAATCTCCATCCTGGTGTAACGTAAGCGGTGCTATCTTTTCTTACATACATGTCAGATTTATAGTCTTTCCTTAATATTGCTCTCTTCTAAAATGGAGTAATGAATGCAGTAAGAACTGGATTACTCCATAATTTGGGTTTTCAGCAGGACAGTGGCCAAAGGAGAAGAGATGCAATCAGTTCCATTTAGTGTAATTGCTAAAATAGAACACCTGTTAGTATTAAGGCTAACCATTTACACTGAACAATTAATTTAATTTAGCCTGTTTTCTGGTTGTGCATTGTCTGAGCAGATCACAATTTCTACAGCTACATTCATTGATGGATGTTTTATGCAAACACATCCCAATCACAAATTTTAATTTGGCTTTCTGCAAGTATTCTGTAGTAGTTACTTCAAATTTGTTGTTTTGGCAAACATTCATACTAATAAACTTTGTTCTTGAATATTCAGAGAACAAATAGTATGCGCACACAGGCAAAGCCTGTTTGTTTACATTTAAATGTTTGCAGGTAACTATTTTCAGTATTTGACTAGATGGTCACACTTTTTTTTTTTTTTTTTTTTTCTTCTGTATGTTGAGCACATTTTGCACACAGCCAAGAGCTCCTTGTATTCCTCAGTATTCGCTTCCCCGGTATGCCAGCCTCCCATCACATTCTTTGGTAATATATGGAGATATACCTATCTCATAGAACTGGAAGGGACCCTGAAAGGTCATCGAGTCCAGCCCCCTGCCTTCACTAGCAGGACCAAGTACTGATTTTGCCCCAGATCCTTAAGTGGCCCCCTCAAGGATTGAGCTCACAACCCTGGGTTTAGCAGGCCAATGCTCAACCACTGAGCTATCCCTCATTTCGGGGACTCCCTGTATACACAACCTTCATGCCAAGGTAATACATGGCCCCTTATTTCCCATGGACAAATAACAGGAGGATCAAAATTAGTATAAGGAGATTATAACGTTAACTGACTGTATAAGGTACCATCTAAATACTTGAAGCAGTTATAAAAAAGAAGTGTGTGTACACAATATATCACACACACACAACAAACTTCTAAAAAGCCAAGCCAGTGCTCACTGTGATGTTCATTTTTAGGGATTACATGGACCGTCTTTTAGATGAAAGTGAAAGTGCTGCTTCCAGTCGAGCTCCGTCCCCTCCCCCTACAACCTCTAACAGCAGCACCAGCCAGTCTGAGAGGGAGGACAGCACAACTAGCAACAGTAATCAAAATGGTAAGTAAACACTGATGTGTTTTCACTCCCATCTTGCTCACTTATAAAAGAAGTTGCCACATCATAGCAATCTTGGAAATGGGCTGAAAAGTTGTAAAAAGAATTTTTTTTTAAGGAGCATAGAGAGAACCCTTGAAATATCTTATTTCCAAGGGGTTCTGGCCAAGGTATCAGCGGTAAGTTACAAAACTAAAAGACCATACTGGCACATACATTTCAATGCAAAATGTTTGGCAAGTTTAACTTTCTTCCTCTTAAGTGTTTTAGCCTTTTCAGATTCAGTCCTACCTGCATCTGTGCAGGTGCTTAACTGAATAGTTCCATTGACTTTAAAGTTAAGTATGAGACATGTTAATGCTTCTCCAGTGCTTGCTTCAGGTGACGTGTTCGAAGTAGAAGGAACCAAGGAGTACTTGTGGCACCTTAGAGACTAACAAATTTATTTGAGCATAAGCTTTCGTGGGCTAAAACCCACTTCATCTGATGCATGCAGTGGAAAATACAGTAGGAAAATACACACACACACACACCATGAAAAAATGGGTGCTGCCATGCCAACTATACGAGAGTAATCAATTAAGGTGGGCTATTATCAGCAAGAGAAAACAAACTTTTGTAGTGATAATCAGGATTGCCCATTTCCAACAGTTGACAAGACGGTGTGAGTAACAGTAGGGGGGAAAAATTAGCATGGGGAAATAGTTTTTACTTTGTGTAATGACCCATCCACTCCCAGTCTTTATTCAAGCCTAATTTAATGGTGTCCAGTTTGCAAATTAATTCCAATTCTGCAGTTTCTCATTGGAGTCTTCAGCACAGAAGAACATTTTAATTAGAATATTTTAAACATTTGTCATTGATACTCCTTGATTAAAATGATCTAATACCTTAAAAAGAATGCATTAAGCAACTTTGAAAGTTAAAGAACACAAGCTATCAATCATCTCTTGCTAAGTAATGTTAAGGTGTAGAGAGGAAAATTACAGTAGGATTGTGGAAAAGAAACAGCTCCTTTATTGCACGTGAGATGGACCTGAAAGTCTATCAAACCTCCAGGCAGGGTTAGGAGTGTTTTTTTTTTTTTTTTTTTTTTCCCCCTCAACTGCCAGTCACTGTAGCTTAGACACAGAAACTTGACACTATCTTCGTGGTGGATCAGTTTCCTTTTATTGCTTTCATCTTATACTATTTAGATCAAGTAACAATTTGGGTTTTTGATTAAGACGTTTCTCTTCACTTTAGAATGAGTGCTGCAGCCTGGAGGAAAACTATTCAGTAATGCTTCTCAGGTTGATATAGGCATGACTCTTATAATAGGATTGAGAAATCTGTGGTACCTTAGACGTATGTATCCTAACTAGATTGACTGTAAAAGCTGTAGTTTGATTATCCGGCAAAACTGTGGTACCTGCTGTATTCTGTAGGATGTTGTTGTGTCTGTATATGAGCTACAGCTTACCAGAGCTTCAGGGATGGATCTCTTGGAATGGCAATAAATTTGAGATGTCACATGATGAAGTTACTTGTATCAAAGATTGGCTTTTTGGTTTTATGGACCTAATGGTCTATTGTATTGATAGAAATTGCTTAAATGTCTAGTTCATATTTCTTCTGCAATGCAGGTGTATCCACTAATGGGCCAGGTGAGATATCCAGTAAAGATGAAGTAAAAATTGAAGGATTGCATGTGAATGGACCTACAGGTGGTAAGAAAACACCTCACACAGATCTGGACACAAATGGATATGAAACTGAGAACCTTTCCATTGACCCTAAACTTGCTCATTCAGCTGCAAGAAATGAAAATGATTTTGAAGAAAAAAATGAAAGACCTGCAAAGAGGAGAAGAATCAACAGCAATGGAAAAGAAAGTCCAGGTTCCTCAGAGTATTTTCAAGAAGCAATATCAGAGACTTTGGATGATTGAATATGGGAACTGATTTTATTCCTTGGAGTAAATTCTGGGGTGCCTAAAATTTTCAGGGTTGATGGGTTACCTTACAAAAATCAAACTCCTTGAAGCAATCTGAGATTTTTCTTACACCTTTTAGTTGGCTCTGAAGTTCTGCTGTTTTTTCAGACCTGAAATGCAGAACTGGAATATTTTGTTGCACAGAACTATGGGCTATTACTGTTCTGGCAACATTTAGGTATTTTAAGGTGTTTGAAAAATGAATCCATAAACTTGTTTATATGGTAAACACATTTCCTGCTTAATTTATTAAGGAAATTTCTATTATACACATTCTTCAAATTGTTTGTAGATACAGTTCTACTGTACAAAGTATATTTTTAAAGAGGAGAGCTGATTAAAATGTAAATTATCACAAGTAGTTAATGTGAAATTTTAGAATTCCAAGATGCAGTGGAGAAGCAGGTGTAAATTTTCAGTCTAGATGAAGAGAAGTGGTATACAATTAAGGAACTCCTATGAATCCTGAAAGTTATGAGCACGATTATTTTTATATATAGAAGTTTTTAAAAAAATAAACCAAGTCAGGTTTGTATATGTAAAATTGTTGACATCAATGATGTCTTCCATATTCTTATCTGGGCTAAAGAAATACGTTCTGTATTTTTCCAGATTTCTTTGTAGCCTTTGAAAGATTTTTACAGTACTTATGTCTTGATTGAGCTGTCCTTTCTTAAAACAAAAGCTTGTATAATTTTCTTAACTTGTACAATTGGTAAACTTTTATGAGAAAATAGATATTCTGAGTCTGTCAGCTTCATTTTATTTTACTAAAGTCTTTTTCTTAAAAAAAAAAAAAAAAAAACCACTAAAAACAAATTTTTAAGTGTTTATGTAGTTATTACCAAGTCGTGTTTTCTTCTCAGAAAACTGTAAACCATTAAAATTGTTAAAGCTTAAAATAGGATGGTTAAAGCAGTCACATAATTATGAGAATCTGACTTCTCAAATTTCTGTCTAAGGACAAATAGTGATTTTTGAGAATTTTGGAGTTAAGCATGATGCTTTTATTGCACAAACTTTCTTGCTTTTATTATACATTTTCAAATTTTATTTTTGAGGGAAGACAAAAGCTTAATTTCAGCCAAATCCTTAAATATGTTTAAACTTTGTTAGCCAAGTTCAGGCATTAGATTATTCATTGATGATTTTTAATAATCTTGTGCATTTCAGTGACCACAGAAGGGGTAGGAAATGGGTCAAGTGATTCTGGTTGCATAAGTTAGGAATTTAATGCACAGCTGGTTACTGTGGGCCTGATCTTGCATCTCTGTGAACTGTTGGGATTCATATTATTGACTGCTTCAGCAGGTGCAGAAGCAGAATCTATGTACATAGTTGGCACAGCATGTATGTAAACATATATACATGTAAGAGGGGATTGTAAGAGGCGATAGTAAGTGTTGGTATCTATTTTAAGAGATGGTGCTAGAAAGAAAAACCCTTATCAAGGGAGGGGGATGCTAAATCTGTTCTTTCTAGCTTTCCCAATAAATGTTTGAAATTTTGTTGAGGTGGGAGGTTATGTCTGTGAAGTGTAAAGTTTACAGTACCAGTGCTTTTTAGCCACAGCTACACAAAATAGTGTAAAGAAACCCAGAGGAAACATTGCCCTGATTGTCTAATGTAGAAGACAACAGTTTATAATTCTGTGGTTTTACAAATATACTGTTACCTTTTTTTTTAACTTGGTTATTTCTGCTGGTCTTCAAAAGCTTATATACGTCTTCAGGGCTTTACTTTGAAAATTATGGTCATGTGGTTTCAAACTAATTTGATTATCACATTGACTTACAAAAACACAACTCTTTTTTCCCCCTTTCCACCAGTTTTTGCTTTTCACAAATGTTCATGAGGCAGAGTTAGATACGCTGAGCCAAATTCAGACCTGGTGTAACTCCATTGACGTAATTAGTTAGGCTGGGTGTGAAGTTAGCCCATTTTTCTCAGATGTTTTAGGAGATCTGTTTAACGAGTTCAGCCGACATTAGGGCATTGACATTAATCTAACTAAAACTAGATAGCAGTTTATACAGAGAGACATAATCAAGAGAGTGTTTAATGTATGGCCTGCATTAATCTTGTGGAGTGATTGTTTTAGGAGGTCATTGTCAATTTTAAATTTGGTTGAACAGAAATCCAAAGTATCAAGTCTTATATCAAAGATGGTATTTAGAAACCTTCAGAATGAAGGTAGTGCAGTGCTTCTAAAAATCTTTACATCTTTAATCAGAATCCTATTTTCAATTTATTATTTGTATGCATTTTTGTTTGCAGGTGGAAATACTTGCAAAAACATTTTATAGGAGAGTTTATAAGTAAATTGTCTCAGGCTTGTGTGTAAAATATGGCACTGTGTACATTTTCAGAAATGTTGATTTGTTTTTAATCTTTTTATGGTATGCCTAAAGAGATCTGACATTCCATAATCATAGAATATGTAATGCTCAGCTATTCTTAAAGAAGTATTTAATTATAATTTGCATTGTGTTTTATACAATATTTGGTTCATGTTCTTCAAAATGCAGCCACTATAATTTGATAAATCATTGCACTACTAGTACTATTTAAAATTCTAGTAATATAGTAACTTTGATTCATTTCAGAAACATTCAGCACAGTTTGGAACCAAGGAATATTTGAACCAGCTTCCAAACTGCATTGAAAAGACAGCAGCTTATGTGTAACACTTAGTATATTTTTCAAGCACTGTCATGACGTGTCCTCGTTCATGAAGTGCTTTGAGTGCAGCCTGAATCAAAAATTCAGTTCAACAGAACAAACTTTTGTTGGGCTTTATAAAGGATTTAAAGCGATATTTTGAAAAAAACATTAAAAATTTACAAATTAGTTTTTATACATTTTTTTCACGCATAGTAATTTTGCACTGTTAGTAATTCCCTTGTCCTTTCCCCATTCCCTGTCTGCAATTCTGGAAAAGCTTATTAAAATATTTTTTTAAATGGATTGTCTTTGTATACAATTATTGAGGTTTTTTAATTCAGAGCAGAACTTTTAATTGAGTGAATAGCTGTGCTTCTGAAGTACATGCAAGTGTATAGTCCTGTCTTACAGGGGAGTTGGTAGCGATTCCATAGTGAAGATTGTGAAATTCCCTCTACTTTCCAGTTTAATTGAGTTTAGTCTCCAAATTTTAGACTAACTACTGTGAACAACTGAATTTTCTTTGTATTTCCTAATTGTTGCAGAGGAAACCAGCTGAGAAAGGTACCTTCTCAAATTTTACTTTTCCCCCTCTCATTTTCTGCTATATAACCAGAAACTCCAAACTTCTCTCATACTCAGTTATTTCCCTAATTTGTGATGATCTAATTGGGCTACACTGTGAACCAACAAACCTGTCCAGTTACATCAGCTACTTCTCTTTCCCAGTGCCTCCTACCTTCCTGACTCACTAGTTCCTTCAGAGACCATGGAGAGCCAAGGAGGGCTGTGAGGGGTGGGCTCTGAGAGAAATGTGGGAGGGCAGACAAGTTGGTGGGGCTTTGAGGGGTGAGAGAGATTTAGTGAGGGATGTGCAGAGGGACGGAGGAGGAACAGGTTTATGTGTAGGGGAACCTGGAGTTCGGGGCCTTGGTTCCACAGATTGCTGCTTCAGCTTTGGTTACCATACAGCAGCACAGGGGTGAGCAGGGTCTCTGCGCCAAGGCATTGGCTTACTAAGGGCTCCCCACCAAGATTCCCCTTCCTCCATGATGGAGGCATCAAGTACAGATGCCTTAGCCCAGAGGAACTGCTTTTCCCACCTTCATGCTAGGCTATCAGCTCAACTGCAGTTCCCCTTTCACAGGCCCCTTGTTCACCTTCACTCAGTCCCCACAGCATGCCTGCCAAACCTCCTAGAACCCAGCTAGCCCCCCACAGGGCTGCCTACTCTGGAAGCTGGTGGTCAGAGAGGGAGGCCTGAGGTGCAAGGAGCCCAGTGTCTGTCTCCTGCCTTGAAACACCGGGCAGCAGTGTGTCTGCACTTAGTTATCTGAACATTAAGGGTTCTCCTAGTGCTGCTGACCATGGCTTTGGAGGACCAATATGGCCATGCTAGGAAAGCCCTGCCAACCACTGTTGCCTCTGTGTAGAGGCATTGGGTGCCCTCCCTGATTATGGGCCCCATGTTCCCTGGGGGAAATCAGCAGGGAAGATGGTGAGTGACTGTATGGGAAGGTGGAAGAAGAAGTGGGGATTGAGATGGGGAGGCCTGGAGTGTGAGCGAAGTGCTCTGCTCTGACATGGGGTCTTGGATATAAAATGGAATTTTGATCACATACTCTGCTTGTTTCACTGCAAGCTTCTTGCCTGGCCTCAGCCCATGGTTCCAGACTTCCATCCCATTTCACTAAGGAATATGGAAATTGATTCATGTTCTTTTAACTATGATCTGTACAGAGGGCTTAGAAAATAAATTAATGAGTGTAATTTGAATGGCATAAACCTGATGGCTTGTGTTAATGCTAGGGCCATTGGTGCCTATTTCCCTACATAAAAATTGCTGTAATGCTAACTAGCTGTGCTTCTGACCCATCAGCTATCAATCTCTACTGATATTTTTTCCTTAAGAGCTGGGCTGAAAAAAGAGCATTTTAAAACATAGCATCAGTTTAGTTCTTTAGAGAAACATAAGCCTCAGGTCGATCACCAGTTTTAAATGCAGTTTGTGTATTGACTAGCAGACTAGTATTTACAGCTGGGCTGTTATAGAGGTATACCATACATTGCGAAAATCTTAGGCCACTACAGAGTTAAGTCAACTAAAGTTACATCCTTGATTATAAACCACTGTAATTACATTGCTTGTGCATATTCACACAACACTCCTTGTGTCAATGGAGCATGTCCACAGTTGGTGCTCTAGCACTGACAGAGAGCACTGCACCATGGGTAGCTATCCTACTGTGCAAATCACCACATTCTGCTGCTAGGAGTTCTGGGAATGGATTGCAGTACATTGGGGGGTGGGCTCACTGCCCCATGATGCAGTTTTCTCCGTCTCATCATTCCATGAGCTTCTGACTATATTTCGTGGTATTTTTCAACTGCCTCTGTAAACTATGTACCCGCCGTCTCTGCCTGAAAGCATGGATCCTGCACCGCTCTCCAGTCTTGTGAAGAGTGTTATAAACAGAACCTGCTGTTCCAACTGCAGCACAATCCAGGATATGAGCATCTCTATTTAGTCCTCCATAAGCTTTATCATTTGCTTCTACCCATTTCCTTTCCTGCCTGGCCTTTCTCTCTCCACACTCTGTGTTTAATGTCTGCATGATCAGATGATTGCAGCACTTCTTGAAACACGTCCTCCTTACTCCTCG